AAAAAATAATTACGCATTAGGTTCTATTTAACAAATTATTTCTTCCCAAAGCCTCAAAACATTCTCTTTCTTTCCTCTCATTTTATCAACACTGAATTTTTCTGAGATTAAAAACAGGCAAATAAGATATTTCTTTTTTTATAGATAGGGTAAGAAAAACCAGAAGTAGTGATACGATGTTGCTAAGAAATAAGCAGTTGTCTGAGCTCTGAGAGTGATCCACAGCCGGCCAATTGTGGAGTCACATTCTTGGAACCGTGAGCTCAAACTCTGATCTCCTGTCTCCTCCCTCTCTTATACCTCTACTGAGACAACTTCCTTTCTTCAAGAGGCAGCTATTTGAATTTCTGATTATCATCCTCTTTCACATCCACCCAGAAACATCTGAACCAAATTACATTATATGTACTGACCAACTGGCTTCAGCTAATCAAGTGACTATGCTTGTCATCTTAATGCACGTGGTAGAATTTTCTGGTAAATAATACATGGCATGTGTCAAAAGTAATTTTGTGCCAAATCTACCACACTTCTTCCCCCTTAACACAGTGCTCAAAGTTGTGTAAATTATGCTTTATTCATACCGATTAAAAGAACCACTTTAAATTTTCAGAGCTAAGATGTTTCTGGTGCTTTTGGTTAACATCCGTTTCACTCAAGATCCTCCTTTTTTGAATTCAACTCAAGAAAACAAGTTGTTTACTATGACACTTTCTGTAAGTAGGGTTTCAGATTGCATTCATCACAGAATCTAAGAAATTTGTCTAGGCATCTTGTTGGTATTCTTTTAGATTTAAGCTCAAAGAAGCTTAAAATCAAGCAAAAGAATAGTTATGAAACTCTAATTTGCTGTGGGACAAAATATCATTGCTGAGAATATATATATGTATATATATATATACACATATATATTCATTATATAGATCTACATCTATATATATAGGTATATACACACACACGGGCACACACACATATATCTATTTGGATGTGATTACCTATCAATTTTAATGTAGCAAGCAATAAAATTCATCCTCAGTTTATCTTCCAAATATATCTACTGTATTGGGATTTAGTTTCTAATTTATTTTATGTAGTGCTTTATCTAACCAACTATGGGATAGGTCTCATTCCCTTACTTATAGGTAGCACACCAATAAGAAATAAGCTTGTTACCGTCACTTTCTTGAAGATAGTCTATTTTGTCTATCTCTCTGAGCACCCAAATCTGGTCACACTTGTTGGTTATGTCCATTCTTTCCAGAAAATAGTTATTAGAACAATGGTGAGCACTCCGTGATTACTTACAAGTTAGCACTGTTCTTAGGGCTTTCATTTAATTTTGATGAAATTAAAGGCCCATTTAATTTTGATGACAACTCTAAGAGACACTATTATTAGCCCCATTTTATTTTTAAAGAAACCATGACAAAAACAAGGTAACTGGCACTGAGGCAGGCACATCCAGGTCCTTGCCCTTGGCCTCTGAGCTCTATTGTCTTTATCTATTATTTCTCTGTTGCAACAACAGGCTTGGGTGGCAAGGAACTTAGTTCTTTAGAAATAGCACAGCAGGTGCAGTGGCTCACTCCTGTAATCCCAGCACTTTGGAAGACTGAGGCAGTGGATCATGAGGTCAGGAGTTCGAGACCAGCCTGACCAACATGGTGAAACCCTGCCTCAAAAATGCAAAAATTAGTCAGGCATCATGGTGTGTGCCTGTAATCCCAGCTATTCAGGATGCTGAAGCAGGAGAATTGCTTGAACCTGGGAGGTGGAGGTTGCAGTGAGCTGAGATTGTGTCACTGCATTCCAGCACAGACGACAGAGCAAGACTCTGTCTCCAAAAAAAGAAGAAAGAAAGAAAAAGAAAAGAAAAGAAAAAGAAATAGCCCAAAAGGATTTATTGAGAATGTGTGTATAAACCCACCCCCACTAAAATTGTATCAATTCATTCCACGGGTATTCTAAACGTTAATGTATACATGAAATGCAAATATTATATAGTAGGAAGTATCTTGTCTTTAAAGTTACCAACTCCTCTTCCTAAACATTAATTCCCAACTCTAGGTGCAGTCTGTGTCTACTCTATCCATGGCCTTCTCTGCTCACCTGGCCCTTCCACCCCATCATGAGAAGCCCACAATTGTAATAGTCTCCATACCTTGAACCTGCCCCATAACTATCCTAACATATAGCCATTCCACCTGTTGCTTCATGATTTTCTCTGGCTGCCTTTCTCATTCCACCTTCATATCTGCATATTGTGTGTCTGCTGCTTGTGATTACCTTCTCACTTTGCCAACCTTTCAGTCCCTTCCTCTGGCCTATGAACCTTGACAATCCATCATCACCTTGCAACTGTGCCCATTCTATAAATCTGAGAAGTCCTTGTAGCTTTGAGAAAGAGCTTTCATTAGCCTTACTCTTTCAAGAACTGCTGAACTCATATCCCGTGCCAGCTTCCCTGCCATGGAGGGTGTCCTTGCACTAGGCTGAAGCTGGTAGCCTATGGTCTGATGGTAACTAGTACATGTTTCTGTAATTTCTCCATAAAAATCATGTTTGTCTTCTACCACGCTGCACAATCTGAGTAGAGGCGCCATCTCCATTTAAGCCACCTGTGCTTAGCACAGTACCTGGCATATTTCTGGTGTGTGGTGATACGCTCTCTGAACTGAAATCTGTTTTTCTGCAAAGTGAGCAAGGGAGAAGATAGTTTAGGGGAGATAAAGACCCAAGAATGAGACTCAGGAATAAACCAAGCAACACATTAAAATGCAAGACTGGAAATTCGGGAAGAATACAGATGGAGAAAGTTCATTACCAGAGATAAGGGAATATTTTAAAACCATAATGACACAGCGTAAGTAGAGGACAAACTAATGTTTAGTAGTACAGCTTAACTAAGGGGAACAAAAAGCCATAGGACCATGATCAAAGACGTTTGATGCTGATAACAATGTGTAATTAATTATGCATCATTTCCTAAGTATCTACTATGGTCATAGCAGTATGCTATTCACAGAAAATATTGCATATGTATTTTTATAAAGTACCCCATAGAAGATTAAAACCCTCCTTGGGAAGATGAAATCAATGCATGAAAAACCATTAGAAAGCCATGAAAAACAGGGCTGGGTGCGGTGGCTTACACCTGTAATCCCAGCACTTTGGGAAGCCAAAGTGGGCAAATCAGTAGGTCAGGAGATCAAGACCATCCTGGCTAACACAGTGAAACCCCATCTCTACTAAAAATACAAAAAATTAGCTGGGCATGGTGTTGCGTGCCTCTAGTCTCAGCTACTCAGGAGCCTGCGGCAGGAGAATTGCTTGTACCTGGGATGCAGAGATTGCAGTGAGCCAAGATTGTGCCACTGCACTCTAGCCTGGGCAACAGAGCAAGACTCCGTCTCAAAAAAAAAAAAAAAAAGAAAAGAAAAGAAAAAAAGAAAGCCATGAAAAACAGTATTCAATTCACTATTAAATTACATAGTATGAATTAATTGCTTCATTTATTTATTCATTCAAAAATATCAAGAGAATGCTATGTGTATTTTCCTGAATTAGGTAATCACATAGAAAAAAAAGATGTGGCAAACTCAGGATGAGGGTATAAAGCATTCTCATGTTGATAGTGTTAATACCGGTAAGCTTATTAAAAGGGAACCATAACATGACTACCAAGAAAAAGTCAGACATTAGGTCCAGATGCATTTTGCTGGGTACATGCTAGTATGTGAAGAGTTGAGAAATTGTAAAATATTGAGATTTGATTTTTCTTTGCATCAAGGTTGTCCTAAACAATTTTATTGATCCTGTGTATTCATAATAGCTCACAAACTGATAAGTCAGCCTCAAAGCAAGGTCGTAAATCAGTCAATTGTCTTAGAAACCCTGATACCGAACTGTGGCATACAGGATGTTTTCTATAAGGATAATTTGAGATCTGGGCATTGATCTCAATTGAGGAGATTTACCCAGTTCATTTCTGAACTGATTTTCCCTGATGTTTCATTCGGGAAAACTACACATAAATTGTTGTGCTGTGATGAATCTAAATGTATGATCTAATCCAGCTCCAGGGCTGTTTTAAGTCACTGCTCAGCAGGACACTGCACCTGCGTGGAATGCCAATATGATGAAACACAGGCGACTGAACATAAATTTTAAAGGCTCTACATTTCTAAATCAGGAGGAGCCACTTTTACTGCTCTGAATGTTCTTCCAGATCACAATCTATGGGATTCTAGAAATGAAATGACAAACAACTCCACTTTGGAATTCTATATATTGAATTATGATTTACAGAATGGTCCATCTCTTTTAAGAGAAGAAAGTAAATTTAGCTTTGTATTTTATTGCCACAAACTTTTTCTCCCACAGTAATGTAATTGTTGTTTGGTGGAAATCAAGGAGTAAAGGAAGAAATTAAACAGGGTCTAGCCATTTATTTTCCCACTGGTTTTATTACCAAAAGTAGGTAAAATTGTTTTGAAGTCTACCTCCATTGCCCAGCCCAGCCCACCTATGTCCAGGAATAGATTTGCTTTGAATCTTCCTAATTCTCCTCTCTAACTCCCCATCAAAGATGTCAGATAAAGGAATTTAGAATTCTTTTTTTTTAAGACAGGGTCTCAGTATGTTGCCTAGGCTGGTCTCAAACTCCTGTCCTCAAGCAAACCTCCTGCCTCAGTCTCCCAAAGCACTGGGATTATAGGCATGAGCTACCACACCCAGCCAAGGGCATTATCTTGAGACCTGTATGCAGAGCATTTGTAAAGCCAACAGTATTTCCAGATTAAGTTCAGCTATTCATTAAAATTTGTTCCACAAAAGAATTATTAAAACATAATTAGAAAGACCTCATAAGTCCTGCCATGACAGTTTTTTAAAATGTCTTAGTAATTCAACCTAAGAACTTTGCTACAATCCAAAGCCAGCTAATAGAATGTGAAACAATAGGCAAAGTACTGTCAGGTAAATAAAATAAAATTATTCACCAAAAATATTTGAGCCTTATACTAGCTCTAAGATGGCACTCGAAGCTGATTTTTCTGTTGCACAGGTCTGAGCTCCCTATCAGTCAGAATAACAGCAGAAAAAAAAACTTACATTACAACTTTACATACTGACAGAACGTAAATGTCCTTTTTAAAATTTTTTTAATTAAGGTATAATTCACATACAATAAATGCACAGATTTAATGTGTATAAACCATAAACTTCAGTTTTTACATTTTGACAATTTTTACACTTATATACCTACCACCCAAATCAAAATATACAACATTTATATCAGTCTAGAAAAGTCCATCATGCCTCTCTTTATGTAATCTTACCCCAAGGCAATCACGAGTGTGTGCATGTCTGTTTTTATATGTGTGCATGTATATATATAGCTGTATGTATATGTATATACACACACACACAAACATATACATATGGATATATATCTGCATGCTTCCTAGGTACCATTTAGGAAATCTTTACCTACCACAAGGTCATGAATATCACTTCCTGTGTTTTCTTCTAAATGTCTTATAGTTTTATTTATTTATTTATTTTGAGATGGAGTCTTGCTCTGTTGCCCAGGCTGGAGTGCAGTGGTGGGATCTCAGCTCACTGCAACCTCTGACTCCATGGTTAAAGTGATTCTCCAGTCTCATCCTCCTGAGTGGCTGGGAATAGAGGCATACCACTATGCCCGACTAATTTTTTTTTTTATTTTTAATAGAGATGGGGTTTCACCATATTGACCAGGATGCTCTCGAATAAATCGCTTGACTTCAGGTGATCTGCCTCCACAGGCTCCCAAAATGCTGGGATTACCATTACCCTGTTTTATTTGCTTCTTAATAGCACATATTTTAGATCAACACTGACGTGACATATTTTTAAATCTGTTATTTTTTTTTTCACCAGAAGGCCCCCATTAAAGTACAACAATATTTCCTATCACATTTTCTTGTCTTCATCCATTTAAGCAGTCACAAATAAAGAGGTAGCCAAGAGATACATGTATTTAACAAAAAGTGTTCCTAGAAGAGGAAACATCAAGTGCAAAGGTCCAAAGGTGGAAACATGCCTGTTGCACTTGAAGGACAGTTTGAGCCAGGGAGAATGGAAATGCAGGAGAAGGCTGGGGGTGAGGGAATCAAGGACCAGATCTCACGCCAGGGCTTCTTGTGCATGTGCTGGTGCTGGGTATTCACAGTCATCAGAGTCCATGTCATCACCACTAAGCTCCACACTCATACTAATCCTACAACACAGTGAGCTCTCAAAGTTAACTATTCTGGAAAAGCAATCTGATTTCAAAGATCTATGGTGAGAAGGCATATCAAATATGCAAAGTAGTTCAGGGAAACTGATAGAAACGAAAGTACATAGAATGAAAAGAACAAAAACCTAGCCTGTAAGAAAGTAGTCAAAGATACAGAAGGAATTCCTCACATGAACTTTAATCTACAGATCCTCTCAATATGAATATTGATATATTTAAACAGCATGAGATTACTAAGGGAGATTATGCTGGAAAGAACAAGCATTGATATTGAAATAATACATGAACGAGAAATAGGAACAAAATTGATGGAGATAAAACCCCAAACAATGAAGAGAGAAGATGAGCAATAATCAGAGCAAATGCAGAGAGAAGAAAAAGAGGAGAGGGGGAAAAGGAGCCAATAGAGGGAAGGCAACGGACAGAGAAAGACAAGCCAACAAGTGTCCTTGAAGAAGACAATTTTACAAATGGAACAGGAGAACAGAAACCATTCCCAAAACTTTGAACAGATAATGGAACAGGAAAACAGAAACCATTTCCAAAACTTTGAACAGATATTTTTCATTAAATGAAGAAAGAACAGATTTAGCAAATTGAGAAACCATACTAAGTTACAGGAAATTGTGAAAAGTTACTCAATGTTGAGGTGTGCACTGATAAAGTTTTTTTAGCATCAACAATGAAGAAAAAACATTAACTTATCCTGTTACAAAAGATCTTGATGCAATGGAAAACATTGAGGTTAACATGAGCCTTGTGCTCAGAAACATTTAAGACAGAAAATAATAGAATTATACCTCAAAAGTTGTGAAATCATGTCTCAGTGTTCTGAGAACAAGTCTGACATATGACCAGTTGCATATATCTTTTCCCTAAAGTTACTGTACATAAAATACTTTGTGGAGGGTGGACAGGGAGGGATCCACTGTAGCTCAGCCACCAGAGACATGCTTCGGTTCATAAGTCTGTAGTAAATGCTTCTTTCTGAGAAACTGGAGTCAGGCTCTTTCTTCAGCCTCTCAGCTCCCTTGGCCTTTGGGGGTATATTTGCATTTACCTATTCACCTTGGAACATTCCTCTTTTCCTAGACATATACTCTCACACATTTTTTATTTTATTTATTTTGGAGATGGGGGTCTCACTCTGTTGCCCAGGCTGGAGTACAGTGGCAAGATCTCAGCTCACTGCAAACTCTACCGTCTAGGTTCAAGCGATTCTCCTGCCTCAGCCTCTTAAGTAGCTGGGATTACAGGCTCCTGCCACTGCGTCCGTCTAATTTTTGTAGTTTTTATTAGAGGCAGCGTTTCACCATCTTGGCCAGGCTGGTCTTAAACTCCTGACCTCGTGATCCACCTGCCTCGGCCTCCCAAAGTGCTGAGATTACAGAAGTGAGCCACCAAGCCCAGCCATACCCTCAGTTATACGTGAAATCTTAGAAAGTGGAACTCATAAAAGTAGACTAGAATGGTAGTTACTAGAAGTGGGGAATAGGACATAGAGAGAAGTTAGTTAAAGGTTACAAATCACTCAAGTAGGAGAAATAAATTTGAAAGGTCCATTGTACAACCTGGAAATAATAGTTGGTAACAATTTATGTATTTTTTAAAATACCTAAGAGAGTGAATTTTAAGTGTTGTCATCTCAAGAAAAAAATGATTAGTATATAAGATAATGCCCATATTACTTAGCTTGATTTAGCCATTCCAATTTATACATATTTCAAAATGTCAGATACACAAAAAATAGGTATATAATTTTATTTATCATTTGATCTTATCCAAAAGGCCAAGAAGCAATTATAATTTTATTTATCAATTTAAATAAATAAATAAAAGAGCTATTACAACTCTTTAGGTGATAGGTATGACAGGCATTTTAAATCATCACCTGTGATCCTAACAGCAACTTTATCTGATAGGAATTATTCTCTCTATTTTATGAGTATACTGAAGCTCAGGAAGTTAAATAACTGGCTTTCATTTAGTTGCCACAATATCACTTAACCGGTAAGCCGGGCCAACCATCTCAAAGGATGGTCCCTACTGAGGCAGGCACAAACTTTCAGTTGCTGGGCCGTGAGAATGCCTAAGAGTTGGTACCATAAAGCGCAGAGTAGTCTTGGGTTTCAGGCAACACAGATTTGCCTATATGCTAATCTCTGCAAGTCATACATTTTTGTCTTGTTATTCCACCTCAAGCACAAGTGCAAAAATTTTTCTGTCAAGACTGAGGTCTGACATTTTGTACCATGACATTTTGTATACCACTGCTATAAAATACAGATTCTTATCCATAATAGAGAACCAATAAATATTTGCCAACTGATTGTTAGAGATGAGAAATGTTTACCTACCTCCACAGTATTTATTTCATATATGAATTACCCTTATGTTTGAGAAAAATGGAATTTCCTCATATTGTCTATGTGGGTTGAAATAACTGACCTGTATTATCTATTTTGTTTTTACACTAATTTCTACAGAAACAATTAACCTTTAAAGGTAAGGAAAGTTTTTATTTCTTGATGTTTTCTCTGAACAGTTTTTGGCTTTTAGCTTTGGAAATGTCCCAATGGAAATATTTGTGACCAATTAAGATGTGGTAACCCAGTATCTTTTTTAACACGATGATTAGTTATGTGAACACAGATTAGTGATACAAATATGCTTAGGAGAATAAAAGCCGATTTCTCAATTCATTAAGTTAAATTCAATATCAGTCATATCTGATGTGACGGCATCTCATTAATAGGAATGAAGTGTTTATAATAAAATCAGTGACTATGAACTTTTATTTTACAAAATAAAAAGTCACTAACAATACCCTATTGTTGTCATGCTAGCCTATGACCATTGGTTAAGTTATTCTTTATTACAGAAATGAGTAATAAAAAGTCTCTCTCACACACAAAGATGTTCCAGACTTAACACTTTCCTAGCTTTTAATTGTCCCAAGAATTTTTAATTAAAAATTCTTTTTAATTTTTTAAATAGGATTTACAATGCCCTTTGTGATAAGATGTAATATGTCAACTTGACTGGATCACAGGGTGCCCAGATATTTGGCTAAACATTATTTATGGATGTGTCTGCAAGGGTGTTTTTAGATGAGATTAGCATTTGAATTAGAGGGCTCAGTAAAGCAGATTGCTTTCCTCAGTGTAGGCTGTAATCATCCAATCCTTTGAAGGCCTAAATCAAAGAAAATGCAGAGGAAAGGAGAATTCACCTCTTTTGCCTGACTGCTTGTGCCAGAAACCTGGTCTTCTCCTGCTGTCAGGCTGAGACTCATGCCATTGGCCATCCTGGGTCTCCAGCTTGCAGACAGCTGATCATTGGAGTTTTCAACATCTGTAGGTGCATGAGTTTAATTCCTCCTAATAAATCTTTCATCTTACCCCTTAGTTTCTTGACCATCAAAAAACTAAAGTGAAAATTTTAAAAACATAAAAAAAAGGTCGTTTCCTTTCTACTTTATTCAAAAGAAAATTATGAAATTGCTACTCTATACCAGGCACTACTCAGAAATGTGGAGATGCTACATTGGTAACCTCATGGAGCTTACATGCTAGATGGAAGAGAAAAACTTCAGTAACAAGTAAATATTGATATATAATATATTAAAGGCTAACCTGTGACAAGAAAAGAAAACAAAGCAACATAAGAAAGATCAGAAGTGTAGGGGCAAGGGAAGGTATAATTTTAGATAGAGTGGCCAGGGTAGTTGCTGCTGAGATGATATTTTGAGCGAAGACTTGAAGGAGACTGGGAGAAAGCCACCGAGATTTTT